TGCTCTGGGACATGAAACCGAGGCAGGAGGGACACCACTAAGGGTGCTTTGGGTGGGGTTTTGAAAAGCATGATGGCTGGACCAGAGTGTTGGCTCTAGGGGCTTAGATACTGTGTGAAAGATGAGACAGGGGGCCGGAGACCAGGACACAGGCTTTATTGGAGGAGAAGGAACCCTGCCGGGCTGCCTCTCAATGGAAGAGAGCACATGTGCAGGGTGAACACGCCTTCTGAGGGAAGGAAAGGGATGGGGCTTAGGGTACTCGGCACGCGCTGATTGGTGGTTTCTTATAAGGCTCATGATTAGGGACCTGGGGACTTAGGAATCCGGGGCTTAGGGTATTTGGCAGGTGCTGATTGGTGGTTCAATGTACAGTCCATATAAGGTGCCTGGTTAGGTGCTCAGGAATGTTTGTGCTGCAGATACAGGTTACGTCATACGCCGTCCATCAGTTGGGGGGAGGGAGGATCTGTCACTGTGTGTCCATTTCAATGTCATTGTCATTACTGCCATTAGTTGAGCATTGATGTGCCAGGCATTGTGCACTTTATATTTTCACAAACAGTATTTTATGTACGCCCGTCCAGCTCTATGGAATTGTTATTACTACTATTTCAATTTACAAGTGAGAAAACTGAGGCTGAGAGAGAGAAGGGCCCAAGAGCTGTGTCGGTGGCGGTGGCGGGAGAGAATCAGCAGGTTGGATACACGAGCAGCGGGGGCGGGGGGGGGGGGAGGTATGAGGGCACCGCGGTGAGCATTCCACATCCGTGGCTTCCTTTTGAAAGCAGCTCTTCTCTGCACACCGCACCAAAGCACTGAAATCAAAGGTCTTTGCTCCCCGTCCGAACTGTTAGGCTAGGAGGCAGGTAAGTGGCAATGAGCCACTGTCTGCCATGGTTTCATCCCTCCATTCTTTCATCCACTCGCTGAACACGCATCCATTGAGAACCTGGGTTTGAGTGAGGTACTGAACAAAAGAATGAGGTTGCGCTGAAACCTGTTTGGCTCAGTGGATAGAGTGTAAGCCTGCGGACTGAAAGGTCCCGAGTTCAATTCCAGTCAAGGGCATGTACCTTGTTTGCAGGTACATCCCTGGTAGGGGGTGTGCAAGAGGCAGCTGATCGATGTTTCTCTCTCATCGATGTTTCTAACTCTCTATCTCTCTCCCTTTCTCTCTGTAAAAAATCAATTATTATTATTTTTTAAAGAATGAGGTTAGGTCTCTGCTTAAGGCTTGTCCCAACTGGCTGGTCCCTGAGCACTGGGGCGGGACGGTCACCAGGCTGGATCTGGCTGACTCTGTGACTCCCCCACCTGCCTGTGTTTGGTGTCCTGGGAACCTTAGGCAGGGCTTGGGTCCATGATTTTGCCTGTGATCAGCCTGATGGGTATGGGAGGGACTTGGAAAGCCTCTTGGCAGTCTGGACACTGTTGCCTGTTGCTTTTCCCAGTTCACTCATTGTATGCTTGCTCAGGAACCCTCTTTGGCTCATGCAGGCCTTGGTCTTTGCAAGGCTTTTCTTTGCAAAGACTTTGTTGCATCCTGCCTTCTCTTAGTTTCCATTTAAATGTCCCCTGGGAGTGATTTTTCTCTCTGTCCCCATTGCACACCCTCAGGGACCTGCTCCAGTTGGCAAATAAGCTCTCCCTCCTAAACGTACACCCTTCCCTCCCAGACACCCTCATCATATTGTCCTTAGGGAGAAAAATATGCAAATGACTCTGAAAAACAATCTCCCAGCAACTGGGTATTCATAAATGTAATAAATTAACCCCATAATGTAATCTGGGTCCCTCGGCCATCCATCATGCTGATGAGATTAAGATATGAGAAACCAGATGCCGCGAGCCCTGAGGATGGAAATGACAGATGAGTGTGCATAGAGCTCCCCTCCAGCCCCTGGTCCCAGCCCCGCCCCAGCTTCTGGGCCCCCATGGAACTCAAGGCCATTAGAGGCTTAGGAATATCTGTCCAGTGGGTTCATGTCACAGATGAGGAGAAGAGGCCTTATTAGAATTAGGGGTCAGGTCAATTCCAATCCTCATCTGTCTCCCACCTGCTTTCCTGTGTGTGGCTGACTTTGAACCCAAGCCCCGAGCCTAGGTTTGTTTGTTTTTTTATCTATGGGCTTTGACAAAGTGGGTACCCCAAGGTCAAACCAAGGTCGTTGGGACCTCTGTTTCCCAGTTGGAAAAATGTAAGTGGTGAGCTCTCCGTCCTCTAAGATTTCTCTGGAGTTCCTTTTTAAAAAAAATATATTTTATTGATTTTTTACAGAGAGGAAGGGAGAGGGACAGAGAGTTAGAAACATCGATGAGGGAGAAACATTGATCAGCTGCCTCCTGCACACCCCCTACTGGGGATGTGCCCACAACCAAGGTACATGCCCTTGACCAGAATCGAACCTGTGACCATTCAGTCCACAGGCTGACGCTCTATCCACTGAGCCAAACCGGCCAGGGTTCTCTGGAGTTCTTTAGCTGCGTGTCAGGAGTCCTTTGTGAGTGGCTCGCACTGTGTCTTCTCAGGAGGGCCCAGAGCCTGGCTGATGGCACACATGCCCTGGAGGCCATCCCACAACTGTGGCTGGGCTCTGAGCTTATCCACCCCAGGCCCCAATTCTAGGTGGCCCTTTACAAGGAACCTCCGCCCTAAGACTGCCACTTCCTGTCCCCATAGAAAAGCTACTTGGCTAGCCTTCAGAGCAAGCATGTCAGACTTGCGGCCCGCTGGCCTCCAGGATGAGTTTGACATGCTTGCTCCAGAGAGAGGCAGAGAGGGATGTCCTCTAAGGATGTCCACTTTCCCCCGTGCCCAAAGCATCACAATAATTAAATCTCAAGGAGTCAGGGACGCCTCTACAAACCGGTGAGCTGCTTGGCTGGCTCTGTGTGAGCAGGGTCCCCCCAGGCAAGGCGGGGTGTGAGCAGGGTCCCCACGTCTGGGGAAGAGCCGCTGTGGCCCAACTGTGCCGCCAGCTGCATCCGTCCCTTTGGATTAAGCATTGCCGTTTGATGAAATGCAGACTCTCCTTGGAAACAGCGCAAACCGGTTGTGGTGATGCCCATACTTATTTGGGCACCAGGGCCCCTGGGGAGCTTGTTAAAGGGCCGGTGCTGCGCTGTGCACACGGACAGAAGGATCTGGTAGGTGAGCGAGGCCACAGTTCCGTGTTATAATGGACTCCCCAGGGATGAAAATGTAGATTTCCAAAGACTCCTTTCGAGACCTGCTGTGCGGGCATTCCTGGCTTAATGGGCGAGGTTAGGCATTTTCTCCTCTGCCCCCATCTCGGGGGAAGTGTGTACATGAAGATCTGAAAGCTTCTGGGGATAAAGGGGGGTACAGGTCCCCAACAGCCCAGGCTGGATCTGTGTACCCACAGAGGAGCGTGACTACTGACAAGCTCTTGGAGGTCAGTGACAAGGTCTAGGACTTCTGGTCCTGACTTATTGTTTCCCGTAAGCCCACAGCCACTTCTCTGACCTTAGGGGCCGAAAATAAGTGTGATTCCTGGAGTCAGACTAGAAGTGAGAACTGGGCTTGTCCTCCCAGTGTGTGATTTTGGCAGATTAGAGAACTTCTCTGTGCCTGATGTACCGTCTAGAAAGTGGGGCTGTGTCATGGGTGCTTAGCTCCTAAGGTTAACGAGGGAATGAAGGAAATCAATGCTTGAACATAAGTACTCAATCCATGTTAGTAATCATTTTAATATTAATCATGATCTCCCAGAGGCCTCACAGCCCTTTCAGAGTCCAGGGGGAGGGGGAGCGGGAGGGGATGACTCCAGAGCTGGTGGCAGAACACACCTCCGCCCGCCCCTCCCTCTATGGTTGTGTGACATTTTACTTCGCTCCTCCGAACCTCGTTGGCTCTTTGTGAAATAGACAATTAACAGTAAGTGTCACGTAGAGTTGTTGACTTAGTGAGATAATCGGTGGACACACACAGCCCAGCGCCTGGTATAGCAAGGCCAGGGGTTGTTAGGATGCCTGGGCCTGGGAGGCCTAGCCGGGCTGGTGAGGTTCCGGGTGGGGGCGGGGGCGTCGCAGGTGCCGCCGGGTCCTCCCCTGGCCCCGCCCCGGAGCCGGCGGATTCGCTTTCGGTTGGGCCGCCGATTCCGGGAACCGAGGCAGAGGCCGGAGCCGGCGGCAGAGGTCGCTGTCCACAGTGCCCAGCCGTGACCTCCACCTGCTCCGCACGGGCCACGCGTGCCCACCCCCTTACCGCGCCTCCTGAAGCCAGAGAAATGCCCTGGGGAGGAAGGCTCGTAGCGATCCGACGGGGAGCCCAAAACTGCCATTTTTCCACCCGAAAGTGAAAGGAGGCGGCCTGGCTCCCGGGTTCTCCAGCGCGGAGGCGTGGCCCCGCCCCCTAAAAGCCCCGCCCCGAGGAGGCCCCGCCCCTCTAAGGCCCCGCCCCTGCAGTGCCGCTTCCGCCCCCGCTCCGGCCGCCAGGGGGAGTGGGCGTGGCCCGGCGCGGCCTCCGGGACCGGCCGCCGCGTCGCGCACGTCACGAAGCGGCGCCCCGCCGCGCGGGCTGAGCTGGAGGCGCCAGTGGTCGGGGCCGGGGTTCCCCGCGCGGGGCCGGAGGCGCGACCCGCGAACCGAGGCCGGAGCCCGTACCGCGGGAGGGGAAAGGGCGGGACTCGCTCCGGGGAGGGACCATCCGGGCGGGGGTGGAGCCTTCTTCCAGCCCCGTGTCTCCTCCCGCGCGTGCCGCTTTCCGCCCCCGGCCCTGCGCCTCGGGCTCCTGCGGCCCCTCTGGCCTTTCCTGCCCCCGAGACCGCGGGTGGGTGGCCGGGGAACGGAGGCTCATCGCGGCGCAGCTGATGCCCCCGAGGTACGACGCCGGGGTGGGGGGCCGTTCCCAGCTGCCCTGATGGGGGGTCCCCTCAGGCGGGGGCGGGGGCGGGGGCGGGCGGGCCCCAGGCTGCCTGGGCCTCTGGAACTATCCCCTCACTCCTGTCCCTCCCTCCCCCCAGGTGGCGGGAAGGATGACTACGCTCACGCGACAGGACCTCAACTTTGGCCAAGGTAGAGAGGCCGGACCTTCCCGCCACCGGGGGCGGGGGAGGGAGGGTCTGTGCGGGCGGACTTGGCTGAGCGCCGGCGTGTGCCCCTTGCAGTGGTGGCCGACGTGCTTTGCGAGTTCCTGGAGGTGGCCGTGCACCTGATCCTCTACGTGCGCGAGGTCTACCCGGTGGGCATCTTCCAGAAGCGTAAGAAGTACAACGTGCCTGTCCAGGTGGGCCCCCCAGCCGGGCTGGCGCCCCCGGGCCACCCGCTAGTCACAGGGTGGGCAGGGAGTGGGTTTTAAACCTCTGTCCCACCTTCATTCTCCAGCGGGGGGACCTTGCCTCCAGGCCCTGGCAGCTGCTGGCAGCCTGACAGCCTCCCAACCCTGCTGCAGTGGCTCCTTCCGTCCCCTCTGACCTGGGAGCGCCCCCCAGGCATTAGGGACCAGGTCTTCGCAGTGGCGTTGCCCTGGGCTACCGTTGTATTCTAAAGAGTTCTCAAAGCTGGCCTTCAAGTTGCCCTGAGGTTGGCTTGGGGAGAGTTTTTCTGTAAACCTCAGGCACCTCTCTGCCCTCTCCCTGATTGTAGGTTAAAAGGGAAACAAAGCCACAAAATACTCCATTCCCAAGTTCTAGAAGTGTCTGCCCCTTTAAAGACAGACACTCACTCGGTAAACATTAGAAGAAACGACTGAATACTGGGAGGTGGTAGAAGCTCAGGGTTTGTACCGAGAAAAGGAAACGAGAAACAGCATTGTCTGAGCACCCTTAGGTACCTAGCTCACCAAGGCCTCACCCTCCCGTTCAGATCTTCACAGATTCCTAACTTTTGAAAACTGATTAGATTGCTGGATCCCTTCTCTTACAAAATGCCCCTATACTCAAACACAATTTAGGGGTTTCTCCGACTCTGGGGGAGCTGAAGGTCCCCACATTAGGAAACCCTGATGCTGTAAGTGCTAATGGTGAGCCTGAATTCTTACCTCCCGGCTTCTCCCCCGCTGTGGATGCTTCAGAGTCCTGAGCCCCCGGGTGGGAAGCTGGCCTCTCCGGTGGGAACCTTAGGGCAGTGCTGGGCCTCTGGCCGCAGGCAGACAGGCTCGGGCTCCTGAAGGGGGTGTGGGAGGTTTCCCAGTGGTGCTGGGGCCTCACCGGTCACCATGCATTGTGTGCAGATGTCCTGCCACCCGGAGTTGAACCAGTATATCCAGGACACGCTGCACTGTGTCAAGCCGCTCCTGGAGAAGGTGAGGGCACCAGCCTACCTCACACCTGATACGGCGTGGGGGGATGCTGGACCTTGCAGGAGTCCCAGGACTGTCACCCAGAGGCCTGTTTCCTGCACCCTGGTGACCCCCTGAGCCCAAGGACAGGCCCCAGGGCCATGGGCCACGTGAAAGGTGTGCTGGGCCCCAGATGGTCCTGTGTGGGGCCTGCCTAGAGGGTTCTGGGTTCTTACATGTGTTTCTCTCTCTCACCCCCAAGTTCTATCTGGGCTTCCTCCTTCTATTGTGTCTTCTGTGACCCTTATGGCGACCCCTATGGGGCCTCAGCCTGTACTACTCACGTCAGGACCTCTCTCCAGTGTCTTGGGGACCCTGGGCTTAGAGGTTGAGCAGGGCTGTGAGTGGGCCCTTTCCCACCCTTGGGCAGGGGGTTGGAAGGGGGGAGACCCAGTTCTGGAGATTTCTGTCCTTGCAGAATGATGTGGAGAAAGTGGTGGTGGTAATTTTGGACAAAGAGCATCGCCCAGTGGAGAAATTCGTCTTTGAAATTACCCAGCCTCCACTGCTGTCCATCAGGTGAGCTGCCTCTACGCCTTCCACCTGCTAGATGGTGTGAGGTCCTTAGGAATATCCCCCCTTCACGCCTTTGAGCAGCTCCCAGAATACCTTGGGGAAACGCAAGGCATGCCAACCTAACTGGCAGGCCACCCCATGGTCTCTCTGGACACTACACAGGTTACATGGAGATCCTCCCGTGTCACACGTGGAAAACCACGACCCTGGGGAATGGCTAGGCCCAACCTCCTTTTATAGATGCAGAAACTCAGGTCCAGAGATGTGACATGAACTACCCAGGGTCACCAAATGATGGCAGAGCCAGGACACAATCCGGGGTCCTACTTTCCCAGGCAAGCCGTGTAATCCATAGTCCAATCCATAGTCCGTTAGAAGTTGGCCTTGGGCAGGAATGTTGGCTGGTTAGCTGCTGACAATAGAATCTGTCCCCGAATGGCCTTGGGCAAGCCCTCTCCCCTCACCACTGGGGTCCTGGTCCTCAGATGGAAAAGGGGACATTAGCGTATCAGAACCACCTATAGGGGCTCCCTCTACCCTTCTCCCCCATCCTGGCTTAATTAGTCTGGGATGGGGCTCTGCACTGGTTGTATACTCACCTGGTGACAGGTATGCCCGCCCTTAGCCAGCCCTCAGAAGGACTAGAGGGGCTCGGGACCCCTCATCTGCTTCTGGGGGGGTGGGCACCAGTGTGAGAGAAGACCTGCCTCTTCCCTCCTTCCCAGCTCAGACTCCCTACTGTCTCACGTGGAGCAGCTGCTCCGAGCTTTCATCCTGAAGATCAGCGTGTGTGATGCTGTCCTGGACCACAACCCCCCAGGTAAGCTCACCTTCTGCTGCCTCTTCCCTGGGCGTTTCCATGGCTACCTTGGGCTGGTCCCTAGTGTTCTCAAGTTCCTTGTCTCTTCTGCTTTTTAGAACTCCTTTTAAAGTCTGCATCCTCCAGGAACTTCCCTGGTTAACTCCACTCTGTCTTCAGTCTCTGTTTCCTTGTGACTTAACACTTGGGCTATTTACACTTTGATCTCAGGCTGCTGAGCCAACTGGGGAGGAGGGAAGAGGCTGCGCCGTGGCAGGCACGGGGTGGCCCAGCCTTGATCACACGCTTGCCTCCGCAGGCTGTACCTTCACCGTTTTGGTGCACACGAGGGAAGCTGCCACTCGCAACATGGAGAAGATCCAGGTCATCAAGGTGAGATGAGACTGGTCAAGGCGGGGGGCTGTGAGACAGCGGGAGGCTCTGGTAAGCAGATGCCACAGTGCTGAGTGGGCAGGGGTGCTGCGCGTGGGCACTGCACCCATGCCATTGCTTATGACAGTGCCTGGCACCCAGGAGGTTCTTGTTGAGTGCTAACGGTGCGGCCACATGCCTGCCATTGCTACACCTGGGCACACAGCGCTGGGAGGAGGGGCTGTGTGCTGGGGCCCCAACTCAGTGAGGCTCTCCTTTCTGACCAGTGTCAGATGGTGCTGGGGGCTTAGGAAATCACTTAGGTTCCCAGCCCAGCTGACCCAGCCTGGGCCTGTCTAGTGGAGGAGCCGGGATTCTGCACTTCCCTAGTGATTCGATGCTCCCCCAAGTCTGAGGACCCCAGCTCTGGAGGTAGAGGGAGGCAAAGGGGGGGCAGGCAGGGCCCAGCCCCTTCCACCCCGTCACCTGGATTCCTCCCTAGGACTTCCCCTGGATCCTGGCGGATGAGCAGGATGTCCACATGCATGACCCCCGGCTGATTCCCCTCAAAACCATGACATCAGACATTTTAAAGGTGAGCTGCATGGGGGCCAGGTTTGTCTTACTTAGGGTGTGTTTGAGGCCTTGTGGACATATCTGCCTTAAGGCTCCTCCCATCCCCACTGTGGCCATGCAGCCTGACACTCAGAGAGAGATCTGCCTGCCAGGGGCTTACAGAGGCTTGCACATAGGTGCCCTGACTGCCACCTGACACGCTGTGTTCCTGCCCGTTAGATGCAGCTCTATGTGGAAGAACGAGCTCATAAAAACAGCTGAGGGTGTCTCTGCCCCCATGGATGCCACAACTATCGGACTTTGGGGGCCCCCAGCCTCGGGCAGCGCTGCAGGCCCCCCCGCTTCCAAGTGCTCTTACTGCCTCTGTGTGGACTGCCCACCCTCCAGCCGGAGCTGCTCAGGTCTGATTGCCTTCATGGAGGAATGGCCCCCAGGAGGGCAGGAAGGGTGCTGGGCTCTGTTTCTCAGCCTCCCGGGGTTCAGCCGGTCAACACTGTCTGTCTCCAATGCTGTGCTGTGAGTTGTTTCAATAAAGGGCCCCAAGGGCTGGCCTGGGCTCTCACTGATTGGGCGGCGGCTGTGGGGGGGGGGGGGCGTGCAGCCAAGTTAACCCGGGGGAAGGGCTGCTTCTCTAACAAAGTGCCTGGACCCCAATTCCCCACCCCAGACCCAACCCCAGGCTGGGTTTGCGTTGAACATTTATTATTGCAAGAAGTGAGAGCTACACAACAGTGGGCTTGCCCAATGTTACAGCTGTGGCAGGAGGTCCCGGCGCAAGGGCCTCCCTGCCCACCACAGGCTCATCTCTTGCCTGAGGAGACCTTTGGCACTTGGCTGGCGGGGACAGAGGGCAGATGAAAGGCCAGCAGATCCAGACTGTCAGAAGGGTCTATAGAAATGATGTGGGGGAGAGCAAGTTATCAGAGTCCTTCCTCATCCCTTTCATCTTCCCATCCCCATCCCCATCCCCATTCCCGTCTCCATTTCCGTTCCGGCTCCTGTGTGGTGTTGGGCCGAGTTGTGGAGGCCGCTGGGTACCTGGTCATCTTAGGGCTGATAATGATGCTGCTGTTGGTGACACGGGACCCATACCAGCCTTTCCAGAACTGGGTGTCTTGGCCCCCATGCTGGAAGAAGATGTAGCGGACGCCTGGAGGGTAATCTGAGAAGGTGTGAGAGACCTGGAAGGAAGGGAGAGGGAGTGACCACCAGGACTGGGGAGGAGATGAGATGGGGTGACCACTCAACTGGGGGAGAGGAGAAGGGGGAGTCCCAGGTGGGAGAGCTGGGGCATTCCAGGCCCTGGGGGAAGTGGATGGCAGGCCAGCAGCTGAGACCTCACCTCTGTCCACTGGGCATCGCTCCACTGTGGGATGGTCACATGTGGGGGCTGGAAGGAGACCAAGACGACCTGGTTGGCTGAGAGCAGCTGCACTCGGATGTTGTAGGTGCAGCCACAGTCTCGTCTGGCGGCGAACCTAAGGGAGGCTGGGGTTCAGGACAGCACCCCAAGACAAAGGGTGGCCCTGGCGGTGGGCAGGCAACAGGCCTACAAATTAGTTTCATTTCCCTGTGAGGCCCATGAGGTCCACCTTCAGTGCGCCCTGTACCCCACGGTGAGCAGCCTTTATCTGTGCCAGGCCTCAGTTACTCCATCTGAGAAAAGGGCCACCCTTTTGGGTATTTCAGAGATTACATCTTAACAGGCAAAAAGCTCTGCAGAGATAAAGGCCAGGCTGTGGGTTCAATGGGAGATTCAAGGGGTGGCCCGTGTGGTATGGGCTGGCACAGAGCTCAGTCCTGCTGTCTCCCCCGCCCTCCGCAGTTCTGCACACCCCTCAAATCCCACCCCTCCCCCCTCAGAGTGGTGGCCCTGGGGCCCTGCTTCTGCCGTGGCCAAGGCAGAGCACTGCCACAGCCCTGTGCACAGGAGCTTGAGAAAGAGTTGTGGGATAAATGGCGGGAGAGGCAGATGAGAAGGCTGGGTCTTGGGTATCTTGCTTAGTGCATGTCTGAGACAACACCTGCAGGCCTCAGTCTCCCCACCTGTACACGGGGTTAAGGTTTATCCCCTGCTGATGCGATGGTGGGGAGGCCAGGAGGCGCTGCTGGATGAGCAAGTGCTGGTCTGTCCACACGAGACAAGCCAGCCGGGTTGGCCTGGCTTCGGGGACTACCCTTGCCTTAGGACACTGCTGGGCACAGAGTGGGCACTCCCTCCAGGTGTCCTCAGGGCCTCACTCACCAGTCCTTCACCACGATGTCAGGCCGGACTCTGTCCATTAGTTCCTCCCAGTAGCCCTCAGCTTTGAGGTCCACCATCTGGGACTTGATGCATAATCTGGGGAGCAGAGGAAAAGCTTGCATTCCTAGGTGTGCTCTGTGTGGCAGAGTCCCCTGGCGGCTGCAGGACAGCTACTGGCTAGTGCTGACTCTGACTCCACCTCGGTGTGGGCCCATGAGAGAGGTGCAGGGAGTTTGACTCCCTGGGGCCTGGGCGGCACCTGATCCCAGTCCATACGCCTGGGGCCCCAGGCACTCCGTTCTTAGGCTATGGACAGCCTGTGGACACTCCTGACAGACCACGTCCCCAGGGGCGCACAGCCCCCTTAAACTGATCCCCACCCCCACTGAGTACTTCTGCCCCAGGAGCAGTAGACTCCGAGCTGCTTTTGGAAACACCTCCCTGAGCTTCTCAGAGGCCCTGGCGTAGGTAGGCCTGAGTTTGGCGAAAGGTGTCCCAACCCTCTTCCTCCAACTCAGCCTGCCCAGTTCAGTCTGTCTTACCCATAGGATGTGACGAAGTACTTCTTGACATTGGAGTCAGGAAAAGCTTCCCCATGGCCTCCAGGTAAGCTTTCCACGGTCCATTGATCCCCCCCATTATGGTCGATTTGCCAGGAACTCATACCCTCTAGGAAAAACAGAAGCCTAGTAAATGTGTAGCCTGGTCCTCCCCATTTGGTATGAGGGTGAAATGCAGGGCTTGCTCATGCTCATCTCCAGGTGTGTACCCCAATTGTGCCCTGGAACACCCTACAAAGTTAAAACTCCAACCCATTCCCATCCCCTCCCCCTTTACTCCTGACCAGCTTTACTCCTACATGAAACTGGGGAAAAACTTCCTTTTCTCACTTCCAAGTCGCTGACACCCTCTGGGAAATACCCAAGTTTCAGTTCTCAGTACATTATGAAGGGCCTGTGATGGTACGTCCGGTCTTAATGGCTAATGTGCATTTGTCCCAATGGGGACCACTCAGTTGACAACTGACATTCCCCCCGACATCCTCACTATGTACCTGAGAGCTGAAGGGGTGTGAGGTTTGTTGCTGGGACATAGGAACCTCTGCGTTGGGTGGGAGGAATAATAATTGGGAGAATGGGCGCCCTCTGAGTTGGTGGCATGTAGTAACCCAATATTCATGGAAGCATCCCCACCAGGTTGGCTCAACATGTCCTGGTCTCTCTCTTTAGAGAGAGCTGAGAGGTACTTAGGAAACTGGCATGTTGCTCACCAAGGTTTTCCAGAACAATCACCAGGAGAGCTTTTCCAAATGACTCCCCTGCTCCCTCTATAAGGAACCCACATCTAATCCCTGTGTGCCCAGGCCCCCCCAGTAGAGACCCAGACGGGTAATACAGGGCCCGGTGCAGACAAGGCCACAGGCTGGCCCTGCAGGGTTGTGAGCTGAGCTGGTGGCCAGCCTGGGTAGCTTCTGAGGGCCTCCAGCAGCTGAGCATTTCTGGATCTTTGGGCAAGACACACATCTTGCTTGGGGCCTAACATTCTCATCTATAAAATGGAGCTCCCGTGAGGATAGAGAAAACAGACAGGAGAGGGATTCTAAGTCTACAAACAATGCCTCTTCCTCACTTGCTGTCATGGCCCCAATAAGGAGCAAGGTGCCTGGTATGTAGCAGGTAGTGAACAAAGGAAAAAAAAAACAACGGGAAAATACAAGAGAAGGCGAGCTTAACAGGGAACTCAAGTGATGTGATTGCAGTCACCTCTCAAAACCCTTTCATCTGTACAGTTAGGGTAATGGGGAGGGGTTTACATTTGTGAAGAGCTCAGGCTAGCTTGGACTGAGCTAAGGGGGAAAGGTGGACGGACCTGCAGTTGGTGAGTCTTCAACAGACGTTTTCTTGAGCACCTGCTTGTGAAGGTGTAATTGTGGACATGGTGTACTGTGGCAAGCAAGATCCACTAGGCCAGTGGTCGGCAAACTCGTTAGTCAACAGAGCCAAGTATCAACAGTGCAACGATTGAAATTTCTTGTGAGAAATTTTTTAAAACTTAAACTAAATAGACAGGTACATTGTCATTAACTTAATCAGGGTACTCCTAAGCTGGCCTTTGCTAAAAACTCAAGAGGCCAAAGAGCCGCATGTGGCTGGCGAGCCTCAGTTTGCTGACCACTGCACTAAGCCCCTGGCACTGGAAGGAAAATACAGAGATAAAAAGGTAATTCTAAGGTATGAAAAGTGCTAGGAAGGAATGAAACGGGGGTGATAGGACTGAGGTAGGGAGTACTGTTTCTGGATGGGCCAGGGCAGGTCTCTGGACTGAGACCTCGAGAAGGAGGAGGAAGCCAGGGAGCATGCTGGGTGCTCAGTTTTGAGAGAACATTCCAGGTGGTACGGGCCTAGCAAGTGCAAAGGCCCTGAGGCTCCAGAAAGGGAGGAAAGGAAGCGGCCCACCTTCACCGCAGGGGTTGCGTAGGAGGTTCCTGCGGAGGCTGCACAAAAAGTAAAAAACCTTCCAGTCCGAAACAGGCTCGTCGCAGTCCTCGATGGTGAAGCCCTCCCGCAGGCTCTTGCGCTTCCAGAGGGTCATGAGGTCGATGAGGTCGCGCCAGAGGCTGCAGACAAGGCGGCAGTCCAACACCAGCCGACGGGCAGGCACGTTTGTGAATATCTCCAGCAGGATGTTCTCGGGCAGTTCATTGATGCTGACCAGGGCCATAGCTGGGCTGGGGTGCACACACAGGCGTGTGTGTGTGTGTTTGTGTGTGTGTTGGGGGGCAACAATGGGGGTTATGAGCCCTGACTAAGGAGGTGGATTCCTCAGATCTTCAGAGGCTGGGCCTGGGCCTCCTACTCCTGCTTCTGTTGTAAAACAAGAGGGGTGAAGACAAGAAGCATGTGAGCATCCTTCCAGGACACAGCAGGCCCTAGAATATGGACTGATTTTTAGGGGGCCTTTCCCCCCATTAAAATAATCGCTTCGTTTTAAGTTGGCAGGCCTGGTGACCAGTAGGATTCTGCCAAGGCCACCTGTTGTGGGTGAGCTCTGCAAGGGTTGGTGGAGATATTCTAGTGTATGAGTTCACTGTTATAAAATCTATTACATCCCAGACTGCCGCAGCTGCAGGAAGTGGTGGGGCTTGTCCCAAGGAGTCACCTTCTCTCCACACTGCTCCTCGCGGCCGGAGGCCCGATGTGACAGAACCCCTAGATGAGGAGCTGCTCTCCCCTCCCAGTCCTGGGGGAGGTGTCCAGCCAGAGCCCACTTCTTAAAAATACATTTTTTAAAAACTGATTTCAGCCGGGACCGGTTTGGCTCAATGGGTAGAGCGTCGGCTTGGGGACTGAAGGGTCTCGGGTTTGATTCCGGTCAAGGGCATGTACCTTGGTTGCGGGCATATCCCCAGTAGGGGGTGTGCAAGAGGCAGCTGATCGATGACTCGTCGATGTTTCTATCTCTCTCCCTTCCTCTCTGTACAAAATCAATAAAAATATATTTTAAAAAATTGATTTCAGAGAGGAAGGGGGGGGGGATGGATCAGAGAAACATTCGTTTGTTATTCCAGTTATGTATGCATTCATTGGTTGATTACTGGATGATGCTCTAAGCAACTGAGCTACCTAGCCGGGGGAGAGCCCAGTCCGAAATGCCAAGAAACAAAAAAGCAGTTTGAGGGGCTGGGCCTGAGTTCTTGCCTGCAGTGACTCACCCAGAAGCTGTGTAAATGTGATAACTCTCCAACCTCAGATGGCCCAGTAAAGAGTACGGATCCCTTACTAACACTTCTATTAGAGCAAAAGCAAACCGAAACCGAAACCAAAACCAAAACCGAAGGCACATTCCTCATCCTCCAGCCAAAATGCACAATTTACCAAGTCACTTGCCTGGGGGGTTCTGATAACATCTGCTAATCTTATCTCCCCCCCCCCCCCCACCTTCACCCACACCTAGAGGCACTGGGAAGACGTCCTTTTCCCTAGAGACTGGGATAAAGAAGCAGTTTAGATTCTTCTTTAGGCTCCTGTCCCCTCCAAAATGAGGGGGCGCAGAGAGGAGCATTTTAGCATGGCAGAGAACAAACATATGTATAAGGCACTTATACAGTGTGCAAAATATTGATGGATAAAAACTCTGATGTGGCCTGATTTTTCATGAGGAACTTGTAAACATTTTTTTTTTTTTTAAATATGAAACTTGTGAGTTTTTAAACGTTGCCGGCTTCTAAAAGCACCGTCCAGGCAAAGGCCTCTGGGCTCTGAGTTAGGTACCGACATCCGAAGCCTGGTCTCTGGCTCTGTCCCCTGTTGCCACTCGCCCCACCCTCCGTTTCTGTCCTTCGTGGGCCTGGCTGCGCGGTGGGGAGCGGAAGAGAAGCGGGTCCGGTGGTAACTCCAGACCCCAAGCAGCCACCGCGCCCGCATGGGCGGCCCACGTGCCTGGCCCCTGGTCACGCGCTGCCTTCGCTCCGTGGACCCTCCAACGACTCCGCCAGCGCTGCTCCCACGGCCACTCCCCGAAGCGGAGCCCGGGCCCCCGGCAGTCCCAGCCCCGCCGCAGCCGGGGTGCCGCCCGCGCGGGTGCCCGGACCGGGGTGTGAGGGCGCGTCCCCGCAGGAGCCCTGCCCTGCCCAGCCCCACGCCCCGCCGAACCCCACCCCGCGGCCTCCGAAGTCCGGGTCCGCCCCGCCCGAGACCACCCGCGGGAAGCGCCCCGGGACCCTCTCTCCCTCCCTCCCTCCCGGCGTGGGCACTCACCCTCTCGCGCCCGTCGCCCTCGGCCTGTCCTGCTGCCGCGACCTGGCACCGGGCACGGCCGGCGGACCGAGCTGCGTAGGACCTGAGCCCGAGCCTCCGGGGTTCCGTCCTCTCGCCCCGCCCCTCGATGACGTCACGAGACCGCCCCGCCCCCCGGAGACTGGCGCCGCTGCCCTGGGCCTCTCGGCGCCCACCTCACGCCGCCCGCCCGCTTTAGCCCAAGGAGTCGAGAGTCCTCGGACCCGGGCCCTGGTGTCCTGACCCGCAGCCTTTCCCTCCAGGCGGCGTGCGGCTCAGCGGCCGGGACCCGTGTCGGACTTGGCTTCCTCCGGGAGCCCTCCCCGCCCCGCCCCGCCCCGCCCCTCCCCGGCCGCTCCGCTGACCGCTCAGCCCGTTCGCCACATAAGGAAGGTGGGGCTGGAGGGCCCTCCCCTGGAAAGCGATCGCTGAAAGTGAAATTATTTTTTAATAATTTTTTTTAATGTGTGATTTCCGAGAAGGGAGAGAGAATATAAGAGACAATCACCAATGAGCTGCCACCTGCACGCCCCCTGCGGGGATCCGGTGCGCCCTGCCGGGGATTGAACTGTGACCTCCTGGTTCCTAGGTTGCTGCTCAACTACTGAGCCGCACCAGCCACGCTCAAAGTCAGTCCTACCTTCTCTAGGGCTTAACCAAGGGCAGGCCTCAATGTCCTCAAAGGTACACATCTCTCCGCATTTTTGCCAGGATTAAATCCATTAATGCTTTCTGCGTTGTAGATAATGACGGAGCACCTGGCGCTGCAGGGAACCACAAAAGGGGGGTGCCTGGCCAGCTCACGGGAACCCCTCAGGGCTGTATCTTCTCCAAGGGAGGGTCCTCTCCGCTAACTTGCCACAGAGCCAGTGAGGGGGGTCCCTCCCCTGACTGAGGCCCTAATCTAGCTTGTTGATGAGGGAGAGCATGAAGTGGAACAGTATTTATTGAGCGCCTACTGTGCCAGGCACTATTCTAAATGCCTTATCTTCATCTAAAGTCAACAAAGCTCTTGGCAGATACAGGAAAAATCAGCAAGCAGTGCCTAGTATGTCAAGGTTGACGCAGCAGGAGGTGTATGCAGAACCCGCCAGGAGGTACACACATGCCCCGCCCCCAGGCTTGTGGCCGGGTCACAGGAAGCTAGCGATGCTGAGGCTGGGGCGGTGTCTGCAACTCACAGAGAGCTCTCTCCTGTGGCTCTGGTTCTGCTGGCTCCTGAAATGTCAACGCCTCTGTATCTTGGGCAGAAGCCACACATGTGGCACCTTCTGCATGTCTGGGCCTCCCCTGAAGTTTGCCCTTCACACCCCCCCCCCCCCCCCCCCCAGAAACCACAGGGCACAAGCTGGGCTGGGAAACCCTTTTATTTGGCTGCATGCAGCAGGGGTAGGATCGGAGCACTGCTGGAGGAGGCAGAGGCAGAGGCAGAGGGCAGGTGGGAAGGGCCGTTCCAATGGCGAGTGGGGGCTTGGATTGCTCTCCAAGCCACAGGGAGCCTGGTGCAGGCATGGAGGTGGACGGGCGGCCCTTGAAGACCCCCTCCCCCACACTCATCCTATGCTCACACATCCTAGCTCTCAGAATCAGAGCCCAATCCTGTACACACCTGCCCTTGGTTCCCCGGCACCGGATTCCAGAGTTCTGAAGAGCCCCGCCCATTCTGGCTTTTGGAGCTTCATTGACGGTAAGGACAGTCCAGATGTGGCGTCCACTCCACCCCACCCTGGGCCTGCCGTCTCGGACCAGGCCTGTGCCTCTGGGCCATAGCCAACCCTCTGAGCAGGCAGGCCTAGCGAGAGCATGGGAGAACAGAGAATGGGGCAGAGGACAGGCTGGCAGAGCCCTCCTTCCTCTCCCAGATCTGTCTGAGCCACACAGTGGACCATCAGGGCAGCCCGAAGCTTGCCAGATGTCCTCCACACTGTCCCCCCTCCGAGGGCCCCCCAAAAAGATAGGGGGGAAGGCCCAGGAGGGGAAGGTGGAAACACAGATCTAGGTTGCCGTCTGAGCTTGGACCCCCAGCCTCAGAGGAGTCTGGGGAGGAATCCGGGTGAACATCCTGTACCTCCCTGAGGGCCCTGCCTCTTAAAGGTATACACAGCCCTCATCGTCATTCAGATTGCACCTCAGGCAGAGCGCTGGCTGTCCGCAGCAGGGGAGGCTCCACAGAGAGGGGGCTGAGGGGCAAGGCTGAAGTAGGAGATCTGGGGAAGCCTGGCCCACCGCCCCTTCCCACGCCCAGCCTTTCTCTGACAACAGTTTACCAGTCAGGGCTCTGCGGACGGGGCCTCGGGGCAGCGGGGGGGCCCAATGGTGATGCTGCTGTTGGTGACCCTCGGGCCGTACCAGCCGGCCCAGTAGTGAGTGTCCACGCCTCCGTGCTGAAACCAGATGTAGCGGACGCCGGGTGGGTAGTTGGAGAACGTGTGTGAGACCTGGGAAGGAGGCAGGCGGAGGGAGGGAGGGAGGTCAGGGGAGCTGACCCTGAGGGTGGCGCCGCCTGAGGGGCAGGGGGGCAAGGAAGGGGCTGCTCTCTCAGTGCTGGGCCAGGATTCCAGCTGAATTCCAGCTCCAATTCTGTGACGCTGGGCAGACCACCTCCCCTCCTCCATGCCTCAGTTTCCTCATCTATAAAATGGAGTCGGCTCCTGGAGGGGCCACCCCACAGGATTTTCTATGTGTGGCTCAGAGCGACTGGAGGAAATTTCACAAGGATGTCCAGTACCCGTCATCACTGGGCACATTTAGCTATTTAAGTAAAATGAGATGAAATAAAAAATTCAGTTCCTCGGTCACGCTAGGAACTGCGTCTCATTAAGTATTCAATAGTCCCACGTGGTTTTTGGCTACCATACAGACAGTGCAGGCAAACCATTTCTGCCACTGCAGAGAGTTCTATTGGAGAACACTGGTCTAGGTCAGGATTTGGCAAACTACAGCCTGGGGGCCGCATGCCTGTTTTTGTAAATAAAGTTTTATTGGAACACACCCATGTTCACTTGCTTAAGCTGCTTTCACAACACAGCGGCAGAGTTGAAGACCTTAGTAGTTGTGACAGAGACAGCACCGCTTGCAAAGCCTGAAAGGTTTCTATCTAGCCTTCTAAGAAAACGTTTGCTGGCCGCTGGTCTAGATAATAGTCACAACCAATATTAGAAATTAATAACAGTGAACCATTTTGAGTGTGGCTTGATCAGCATCACTTCGCTGAAGTCAGAGCAGCCGAAGCCCAGGTGAGAAGCAGCAGAGCTGGGACTCGAACCCAGGCCCGTCTGGCTGTATGTAATCTCAGTCTTGGGCAATGTGCCCACTGCCCCCTTCCCGCCCCACACACCTCTCTCCACTTGGCATCGCTCTTCTGCTGGATGGTTGCTGGGTCTGGCTGGAAGGTCCCCAGAGGCGCATGCGCTGATGACAGGAGCTGAACGCACAGCTGGTACTTGGACCCGCAGTCTGGCCTAGCTGCGAACCTGCAGGCAGAGGGAAGGCCCATCAGGGGGCCTTGGAGATGGGGGGCAGGGTGGTGGTGGGGCACCTGAATGGAAGGGCCCACCCCCAGGCCCTCGCCCCAGGCACTCACCAGTCCTTGACCTTGATGTCCGGCCGTGTAGTGTCCATCAGCTCCTCCCAATACCCTTCGGCCTTGAGGTCCACCACCTGGGACTTGAGGCAGGTGCTGGGGGCAGGCGGAGGGTGGGCTGGGCTGAGGCTCAGCACTGGGGCACTGGGAGGCGAGGCTGCTTTCCCAGAGAGGAGAGACCCCGGGGGGCAGTGACTTTGGCTTCCCCCTCACCCCAAGACCCCCTGACCTTGGATCTTACTAATAAGAAGTCACGAAGTATTTCTTGACCTGGTCATTGGGGAATTCCTTCCTCTGGTCTCCGGAGAGGGCTTCCACCTTCCACTCATCGCCTCCGTTCACATCCAGGCTCCAGAACTCAAACCCCTCTGGCAGGAAAGCAAGTTCACCTCAAAGGGAAGCCCCCCATGGTCCCCTTCTCCCAGGGGCCCTCCCTCCTTTCTCCCTTCACCTCAGGAGTTGCCCTGCAGCCTGCGCTGTGGAACTGCAGACCGATGGTGTCTGCCTGGAATCAAGTGCTTCCTGTCCTGTGTGTCAGGCTAAGTGACTTCCACTGGGAATCCTGAGACACATGATGATGTGAAGGACCAGACTCCTTCTGTGATGCAGCACGCTCTGCGGCTGGCCAGCTCTGGGGCTAGCCCTGCCTCTACCAATCCTGGCTGTGTGACATTAGGCAAGTTGCTTTCCCTCTCTGAGCCTTGGTTTTGTCCTCTGGGGTCAAAGAATGGGACTGGCAAACTTTCTGTAAAGGGTCAAAATATTTTAGGTTTTATGGGCTATGTATTATCACATAGTATGTTTTTTTCTTTTCTTTTTTAAAGTAACCTTTAAAATGGTAAAAGGTATTATCTTAGCTCCTGGGCCAGATTTGGCTCATGGGCCACAGTGTGTCAACTGCTGGTGAAGACATGGCTGTTGGGGAGTCAGGTAAAGCAGGCACCTGAAAGTCCTGGAGTCTGGAGCTGTTTTATCATTTTGCCCAATAATTTGGCCACGTGATGGGGAAGAATGAGGTTCCCATCCCATCCTATCCCACTGTCTAGCTGATGAGTTAATGTAACGAGGGGACAAGGAAGCGCTGGATGACGGCAGACGTGGCTGAAGTGTGCTGGAAAGAAGACTGGACTTCTCATTCTTCCACAAGCAAAATCCCCTTTGACCTCTGGAGTCTGGGAACTAGGCCAACAAAAACATGCTGACTTCCTGGTCATGTGCCTGGAGCATACTTAGCCCTAACTAATCAACATTCCTTCTCCTAGGAAAGGTCACTGGGGATATCAACGTTAAGGACGGAAGAAATGCCGCTCTTGGCCTCAGTTTGCTCATCTGAAAAATGGGTACACTACCAGTACCTTTTAGGATTACTGTGAGAGGGTTACAGTTGGCAGGCCATTCAAAGTACCTAGCTTGCAATAAGTGCTTAGTAAATGTCAGCTGGAATCCTGACTCTGTGTGTGTGTGTGTGTGTTGGGGACACGCCAGACCCACTCTGCACCCCACCTTCGGCACACGGGTTGTGCAGGAGGTTCCTGTGGAGGCTCCGTAGGAAGTAGAAGATCTTCCAGTCGGCCACGGGCTGGTCCCAGTCCTCGGTGATGAAGCCCTCCCGAAGGCATTTGCGCTTCCAGAGGGTCACGAGGTCGATGAGGTCCCGCCAGAGGCTGCAGACCAAGCGGCAGCGCAGCAGCAGCTGGCGGGCGGGCACGTGCGTGAACAGCTCCAGCAGGATGCTTTCCGGCAGCTCGTTGATGTTCTCCACTGCCATGGCTCCTGGCTCCCGGGCACGCCTGTGGTTATTGAAAAGCCAGACTTTTTCACCTGGGCCTGGGCCTGGTGTTTGCAGCACCCGGGGCGGTGGAGGCCCCCAGCCCAGGTCTACAGTCTCTGGGCCTCAGTGTCCTCCTCTGGAGCAAGGGGCCAGGAACAGCACTGCCACCCCCTGGCAGGTTCAAGGAGCCCGGGACACAGCAGAAGCCAGTACAAGGTGAGTTTTTTTTTTTTTTTTTTTTTTTTTTTTTCTTTTAACTGGCACCTCACAACAGCCTCTAGGCTAGGGAGGCCTGCGGAGAGGCGGCTAGATCTGTCCGGAGATGAGAGCAGAGGGAAGGAGGACGAGCCTCCTCGGACTCCACAGCCGCCCCTTTCCCATAGGCTAGTTCTTGGAGCGGAATAACGGCGCGCAGCCCCGCAGAGCCCTCCACCTGCGCGGTGCCTTTTCTATCCTCTCTCCTGCCCTCGGAGGGAGAGGGCGATGTGGGGGCCTAACCCGACGGAGGTCCGACTTTCTCAAGGCCGAAGTGGAAATGACTTGCCCAAGTTGGGCCTGGAGAAGGGTGGGCAATGCGAAGGCCCCTCCTACACCCCCGCTCCCATCCCACGCCCGCGGCTGGGCTCCAGCTCCAGGCCCCCTAGGAGCCTTCACCCTTCCATTCCTCGTGGTGACTATAAAACGCCCCCCCCCCCCAAAGTCGTGGCTCGGACCCCTACGCTTCGAGGGAGATCCCAGCTCCCGGTTCCGCTGGCATCGCCGCAGGAGGCCGCGCCACGCAGTTCCCTCGGGCGACCTGGGACTCGTCCGCGCCGGCCTCCTGGGCGCACAGCTGCGGGGCCGGGAGCTGCCGAGCCCCCGCCAGGCCCCGGCCGCCTGCGCCCCCGCGCCCCCGCCCGCGGGTCACCTGCATCGGCCGACGCCGCGCTGTCCCACTCGGAGGTCAGGCGACCGCTGTTGGCGTTCCCGGGGATGAGGCCCCGCCCCCACCCGCATGGTCCCGCCCCGCCTGTCCTGGCCCCGCCCGCTGGCCCTGCCCCGCCCCGCCTGTCCTGGCCCCGCCCCGCCCGCTGGCCACGCCCACCGGCTGGCCCCGCCCGGCCTTCGCCGCCCGCCCCCCTCTCCACGCTGAGCCGAGTCGCGCGCCGTGGTGTGTGGGGCCCGGGATGCGCCCCCCACCGGGAAATAGGAAAATTACTCCGGTTGGGGGTGCTGGGAGGAGCCTCTGCCCCGCCTCCCCCTGTGCCTGGGCTGCCCGCCCCGCACCCTCCGCATGACCCAGACTCCCTGCCCTCTGCCTCCTCCTCCCCGCAGCAGTCCTCCCCCCTCACCCCCCGGGAAGCGGGGAGCAGCCTCAGATCGGACCCCCTCGCCCCCATTACACACACACACACGCTCCCACAAAACTGACTCCTGACCTTCCTCGGCCTCCTGGGTCCGCCGAGGAGTCCGCAGCCTCAGGCCGCCGCGGACCGCTCGGATTGCGGGGCGCCCGGGCGCGGGGCCAAAGGCGGGGCGGGGCGGGGCGGGGCGGGAGCCTTTAAGAGGCGCGGCGGGCCGGGCCGACCCAGACCGGGCAGCGCCTCGCCTAGCCACCGCCGTGGGACCGGGACTCGGGCCGCCCGCAGCGCTCCGGCTTCTGCTTCTCTCGGGATCGCCCTCCGCAGCGATGGACGGAGACGGGGACCCAGGTAGCCCGGGCCACTCGCTCAGTCCGGGAGGGGAGACGGGGCAGGCTGGCGAGCGCCAGAGAGATGCGGGGCAGTGGTGGGGAGGTGGTCAGCCGAGACCCAGCGCCGCAAACTTTTACCGAAGCCAAGTCCTTGAGACGGTCTCAGGTGCAGTCCTCTGTCTGGTACCTTGGTTTGGCCCGAGGCCTCAGGAGGTGACAGGCCGGGAGAGAGGACTCCTGGCCCCATTTATCCAGGAGATAGCCCACCTCCAGCTTTCCGGGGTCTGTAGGGCTGGGGCCAGGGACGCCTCTGGGATGGAGGAGGCTGCAAGCCCTCTTCTTCCATCAACTTCTTCCATTTGCCAGCCCTGGCCGGTGAGCTGCCTGAATCCCAATCCCCACCAGCTTCTTGGGGTTACCCGCCTCTCCCCATTCCATCCCAGCCTTCCTCCCGGGTTCCCTTGTCTGGAGGGGCCATCCTTCATCTGGGTGGCCAGATGCCCAGTGGGGACCAGGCCAGCAGTGAGCGAGGTTGGAGCACCAGCTCTTGCCAATGCTCAGGGCCCTCTGAGACTGCCCAGTCATCTTCTCTGGCACCAGAGACCCCCCCCCCCGCCCCACAATGCTTTGAGCTGGCTGGGTCTGGAGGGGTTGCCAACTGAGTCAGGGTGGGCATGAGCAGACTCCCCCACCCCTTCCTCAGCAGGCCCATCTGAGAGTGGGCACTGCACAGGGGAGGCCATGGGAAATAGACGGATGGGTGCCCAGGTAGCCCAGCCCCTGCCTCCCAGCCCTGAAAATTCCAGCGCCTCCAGCTCCCACTCCCACTCCTCTGGCCCTCCCCCCCGCCACACCCTTTATGGGGCCCATTGGGCCCCTGCGTTTTCTCGGGGCCCAGCTATTCCCTGGACTCCAGGGCCCGATCCAGGTGCATGAATCAGCCCTGGAGGCCGTTTCCAGGGGCCAGATAGCTTTCCGACAGCAACAATGTGGGGAGTTGTGTGTGCCCGAGCGGGGGATGGGGGGCTGTAATCAGATCTGGGGCCTCAAGTGCCAGGCCTGGGGCCAGGAGAGGGGACTGGGCGAGGTGCACCTTTCCGGGGAGCATCAGGTGTCCACCAGGCCAGGGCAGGGGTGGAGAGGTGAGGACACTGGGCCCTGCTCCCCAGGGAGTGGTGGGCAGCAGGATGGGCAGGTGATACGACTTCAGGGCCTGGCATTTTCCTCTGACTGCCCACTCCTCCGCAGTGTGACTTGGGCAAACCCAGGAGGTGTCTCTGGGCCTTAGTTTTCCTCTTTGCCAAAAGGAAGGCGGTAAAGCCCCATATCATAAAGATGTGGCAAAACAAAACAAAACAAAAAAAACCACCAAAAAACAAAAAACCTGCCGAAACCGGTGTGGCTCAGTGGATAGAGCGTCGGCCTGCGGACTGAAAGGTCCCAGGTTCGATTCCGGTCAAGGGCATGTACCTTGGTTGTGGGCACATCCCCGGTGGGGGGGTGTGTGCAGGAGGCAGCTGGTCGATGATTCTCTCTTATCGATGTTTTAGTTCTCTACCCCTCTCCCTTCCTCTCTGTAAAGAAAAAAAAAAATCAATAAAATATATATTTAAAAAAAGCTAATGATGAAGGGAATAATAAGATTCACTAAATAAGATCTACTGAGGACTCACTGCGCGCTCTGAGCTCTGCAGAGGTAAACCCTGACTCAGTCATCCAGGGTCTGACTGTGGGGCGGGGGAGAATTTTGCATGTGAGGAGGCAGAAGGCTGGCAAGCTGGGCAACATCCAGTCTCCTGCCTGCTCTCTCCCCCAGTGCATGGCGTATTATGAAGACCATCTTGGCCTTCCAGGGCTCAGTCCTTAGGAAGCCCCATCCTAAGTCGGAAAGCTGTGCCCCCCCCGCCACCAATCACCCAGCGTGGCCCCATTTCCTCCCCGCTGTCTCTCCCTCCTCCAGAGACACTGGGCACTTGGTATCTGCTTACTCAAGGCTTCAATGGCCTCGCTGGGGCGCCTGGCATCCAGGAGAGAGTCCAGCCCGCAGCTCCTGATACCTGTCCACCTAGAATGCCCTTGCCCCTCCTCAGAGGGCTTGAACATCAACACTGAGTGACCTGGCATCCCCATTTTATAGATGGGAAAACTGAGGGCCAGAGAGAGAAAAGCCTTCCTCTCCCAAACACTTATTACATCTCCCTGTTTGACACACACACACACACACACACACACACACACTCTCTCGCTCACACTCACATGATCTCTTTAATGAGCTCCCCTGCCCCCATTCCCAAGCCAAAGATTCCTGTCCCTTTCCCCTCGGGCCTCAGATCCCAATGCCCCCTCTCTAGTCCTAGCAGGGTGACCTCTGGCAAGTTCCTTCACATCTCTGAGCCTGAGCAATTTCACCTACAGAATTAAAATCATAATAGTGCTTCCTAATTCAATGCATTATCTTTTTTTAAAAAATATATTTTATTGATTTACAGAGAGGAAGGGAGAGAGATAGCGAGCTAGAAACGTCGATGAGAGAGAAACATCAACCAGCTGCCTCTTGCACGCCCCACTAGGGATGTGCCCGCAACCAGTGTACATGCCCTTGACCGGAATCGAACCCGGGACCTTTCAGTCCGCAGACAGACGCTCTACCACTGAGCCATACTGGTTTCGGCAATGCATGATCTCTTTGATGTGTGATGGTTAAAGGTGGCTCTGGGGGCAGGCGCCTGGGTTCAAATCCAGGTTCCAATCACAGTGTGCTCCCCAGCTGTCTCGCCTCTCTGTGCCCGAGTCCCCTCATCAGAGAAACAGGGACAACAATAGGAAGAAACCTCAGAGGTGCTTGGAGCTACAAAGAGTAAATGGCTCTGGCCGGTTTGGCTCAGTGGACAGATCATTGGCCTGCAGACTAGAGTCCCAGGTTCGATTCCGGCCAAGAGCACATGCCCAGGTTGCATGTAGGGGGTGTGCAGGAGGCAGCCGATCGAGGATTCTCTCTCATCATTAATGTTTCTATCTCTCTCTCCCTCTCCCTTCCTCCCTACAATCAATAAAAAATATACTTAAAAAGAGTACCGTAAATGAACTTAAAAATGCTCAAAAAGGGCCTATCCTTGTTAAGTTCCCAGTAAACATTAGCTCCCGGCAGCATGCCAGGCGCCGGGCACTGGGGATGAAGCAGTGAGTTCCCCAGACCTTGTTCCTGCCCTCCTGTCCTCTGTCTGGCCCTAAGAAAGGTGTTTTGTAAACGTCACACACTAGGACAAAACCTGGGAAGGGCTGGAACTCCGGGGGGAGAGGATCTAACGGGGTAAACCCAAGAGGGCTTCCACGAGGAGGTGGCAGGAGCAGGGGTCTCAGAGGGTGGTTGGGAAGATTAAAGAAGTTCATAGGTGAAAGTAAACGTGAGGCAATCCTGTCAATCATGTCCGTGGCTGTTATCTGTTCAGGTGTGGGGTGTACTGGCTCTGCAGGGGAAACTGAGGCATCTGAGGCGGCTCTTTGCACTTGATGCTGGCCTGTGAGCCTGGTCCCTTGGGGGCTCCTCCGCTGGGCACCAGTCTCTGGTCTCAGGATCTTTGGCTCCAGCTGCTGATTGTCCTTGGGTGGGGAGGGGGAGGAGGGCGGATACCTGCCACATGGGTTCTGGGGCGTGCCAGGGGACAGTCTAGGGGGAGTCACCACCTTCTCACCCCTTCATCCCCGCAGAGAGCATGGGCCAGCCCGAGGAGGCGAGCTCGGAGGAGCCGCAGGAGGAGGGGTGCGTGGTTGCCCCGGAGGCGGAGGCGAGCGGCGGGGAGGAGGAGGAGGCCGCGTACCTGGACGAGCTGCCGGAGCCGCTGCTGCTGCGCGTGCTGGCCGAGCTGCCGGCCGCCGAGCTGGTGCAGGCCTGCCGCCTGGTGTGCCTGCGCTGGAAGGAGCTGGTGGATGGCGCCCCCCTGTGGCTGCTCAAGTGCCAGCAGGAGGGGCTGGTGCCCGAGGGCGGCTCGGAGGACGAGCGCGACCACTGGCAGCAGTTCTACTTCCTGAGCAAGAGGCGGCGCAACCTGCTGCGGAACCCGTGCGGGGAAGGTGAGGGCCGGCCCCGCGGCCCCGGGGCCGGGGGCTCAGTTTGCTCCTCCGGACAATGGGCCACATGCAGTGCCAGCAGGCTCGAGGGCGAGATGAGATAGAGCGCTGGGCACAAGCCCGGCTCAGAGCGCCCCATAAACTGCAGGATCACCTCCCGTCCACCCCCCCCCCCTCTCTTTCCCAGGGTCTTCCCCCGCCTCCGGGGCAGGGGAGTGGGGAGAGAGGATCTGGGACAAACAGGAGTGCCTGCCCTTCACCCCCTGGCCCAGCTGGCCCAGCACCCGGTCCAGGGGCACCCTCAGGGGGACGGTGACCAGGTGGGCCGTCCCGTCCCCACAGAGGACCTGGAGGGCTGGTGCGACGTGGAGCACGGCGGGGACGGCTGGAGGGTGGAGGAGCTGCCCGGGGACTGCGGCGCGGAGTTCGCCCACGACGGGAGCGTCAGGAAGTTCTTCGCCTCCTCCTTCGAGTAAGGCGAGGGGGTGCGGGGAGGAGGGCCGGGGTAGGAGAGAGGGGGGCGGGGAGGAGGGCCGGGGTGGGGGAGAGGGGGGCGGGGAGGAGGGCCGGGGTGGGGGAAAGGGGGGCGGGAGGGGGAGAAGGGGGGCGGGGAGGGGGGGAAGGGGGGCGGGGAGAGGGAGAGGGAGTGGGGGGAAGGGAGAGAAGGGGGTGGGTGGAGAAGGGAAGTAGGGGGGGCGGGGAGGGAGAGAAGGGGGGCGGGGGGAGGGGGAGAAGGGGGCGCGGGGAGAGGGAGAAGGGGGCGCGGGGAGGGGGAGAGGAAGATGGGGGAAGGGAGAGAAGGGGGTAGGTGGAGAAGGGAAGTAGGGGGGTGTGCGGGGAGGGGGAGAAGGGGCCTCCGCTCCCCCTAACTCACTCTCCCCAGGTGGTGTCGCAAAGCGCAGGTCATTGACCTGCAGGCTGAGGGCTACTGGGAGGAGCTGCTGGACACCACTCAGCCGGCCATTGTGGTCAAGGACTGGTGAGCCGCCCTGGGGGCCCTGGGGGCCTTGAGGGCCTTGGGGGGCCGGGGCTGGGGAAAGAGGAGGGGACTGAAGCCACACCCTGCTCGAGCTCCAGCGGCTGTGGCCCCGTGGGCGGGTCTCCAGGAGAGGGTGACATCCACCTTTCCTCCAGAGTTTAAATGTTGTACAAAAAAATTTTGTTTGTTTTTTTGTTTTTAATCTGTCTACAGTCCAAACAAAACACGACCTGGCGGGCTGGCTTGGGTCCAAGGTTGAGTCTGGCCCACCTGGGTTTGAGTCCTTGGGTTTGGACCTTGGAGAAGTGACTTTCTCTCTCTGGCCTCAGTTTCCTCATCTGTGAAATGGGGACGCTCAGTAGGCTCGGCGGCGGCGGGGGGCGGGGTTACCTTCTGCAGAAGCCCCGCCCCCCGGCTGAGGCTGCGGCTCCCCGGCTCCCCCCGCAGGTACTCGGGGCGCAGCGACGCCGGCTGCCTGTACGAGCTCACGGTGAAGCTGCTGTCGGAGCACGAGGACGTGCTGGCCGAGTTCAGCACCGGGCAGGTGGCCGTGCCGCAGGACGGCGAGGACGGGGGCTGGACCGAGGTGAACGGGGAGGCGCTGGACCGGGAGGCCAGGCCGGACCGGGAGGCGAGGGGCGGGGCTTATGGAAACCACGCCCAGTGGGCGGGGCGGCGGAAAGGCCCCGCCCCGTGGTGAGAGGGGCCTGGGGCTGAGCAACCGAGTTGGGGCTGGAGGCGAGTTAGGGTGTCATGTCCGACCCTTCCTCTCCCCCTTTCTTCTCCCCAGATCTCCCACACTTTCACCGACTACGGGCCCGGCGTTCGCTTCGTCCGATTCGAGCACGCGGGACAGGATTCCGTCTACTGGAAGGGCTGGTTCGGGGCCCGGGTGACCAACAGCAGCGTGTGGGTGGAGCCCCCTGAGTGACTTTCCCCCAGCCCCCTCCAGCTGCCCTGCAGGGGCAGAGGCCTGGGGCAGACAGGCCTTAGCGGTAGCACCCTCCCCTCCCCCTCCCCACGCACCCCTCTCCCGCCCCTGGCTCGCAGCCCGGCCCCCACGCAGGTAGAGAAGGGTTTTGCTGGCGCGTATTTGCACCTGGAAAATAAGATGGGTGAAGGCTTGGGCCTGGGCCGGGCCCGCGGCTGAGTCCCCCACCCCTAGCTCAGTGCCTGCTGTAAAGCGGACTTGCAATAAATGTTACTCCTTCTCGGGAGAAATGGGCAGATGGAGTAATTCCTTTGCACCCTTCCCGTCTCCCGAGGGCCCCTGGCGCAGCCTGGAAAAATACTTGGTGGGGCTCCAGCTGCTTTGGTTTCCAGGGCCCATCGGGCCGGGCAGAGCCAGCCAGGCCGGGCTGGCGGACAAAGGCTGCGATTGTGAGGCCAAGGAGTGGGGAGCTGGGCCTGGCGCCTGACTGACACCCAAGCTGCCCAGGGGCCGGAATGAGGGGGGCTCTGAGGTGGGGCCACCCTCCAGGCCTTTCTCGTTCCCCATTCTCATTTCCTTCTGAAGGCAGGTTGGTGGTTGATGGCAGCACCTCAGACAGGGATGCCCCTGGCCTGGACTGGGGGGGCAGGGAGGGGAGGGCTGGGACCACAGGAAGGGACGTCCCTCTCCAGCTCACGCCCACTTCCAGCTATGGAATCGGACAGGAGTCATTAGCATCTGGTCTCATGGTCATGTTCTAAGCCTGGCTGGGGGGCTGGCACTGGTTCGAGGGGAGGAAGGAGGAGGGTAGGGTGTGGTGCCAGGTCTGTGCAGGCAGAGGCCGGGCTCCGGCCTCACCAGCAGCTTTCACGCTGGCCCCTCCCCAGGACCCTCAGCTGCTGCGGGTCCTGAACCATCTGCTCTCCGATGTGAGGTCCAATAAAACCCGTGCCCTCCAGCTTTTCTTAGGTTCTGAGCCCGGATGCCCCCTGCTGGTCAGGTGGGGTTGCAGGGTGTAAGCTGAGCCCCGAAGTGACAAGAGCGAACAAGACACTCCTTGTCCCAGGAAGAGGCATCGTCCCGGGAACACCGAGGAGGGGGCACCTGGGAAGGGCCGAGGCCTGGCCCCTGCTCCCAGTCCTCTCTGAGAGATTTCGCAGTCCGGTGGGGCGGGCACCACCCACACCCCCCTGAGTTGCCAGGCGGCAGGGGAGGCCGTGCCTTGCGCTGGCGGCCCAGGTTGATGAGGATTCACGGAGGGAGAGAGAGGGTCAGCCCGTGAGCTCCGGGTTTAAGTATGGGGGTAACCTGGGAAGCTTTGGGGTGAGGGACCAGGATGGGCAAGTGGGGAGCCAGGTGGGGATGAGCTGGGAGAGGGCTCCTTGGGGCTGTGGGTGGAGTCTGAGCCATCAGTGGGGCTGGGGGGCCGGGACCCGAGTCCTGGCGCCTGTGAGGAGGGCTGGATGTCAGGGCAGGGGTGTGGGGGGTGTGGAAGGTGCTGCAGGTGGGGGAGCTCTCCTCATGGGGGTTCAGGAAGGAGGCCCAGGAGGGGTCTGGGGTCCTGGGAGTCGCAGTGTATGTGGCCAGCAATCAAAGCCAAGGGCACTGGCGAGGGCTGGAAACAATCGTGTGAAGTGAGTGAGGGCCCAGGAGCCTGGTCTCTGGGCACTGATGGCGGAGACAGAGCAGCCAGGGAGGTGGGTGGGGTGAGTAAGAGGGCGCAAGGCCAGCAAGGCCACCTCCAGCCAACTGCCTGCTCCCTGAGGAAAGATCCAGAAACCCAGAGACCGGATTCTTTCTCCAGAGCCTGCAGAGGAGAGCTGAGGGGCTCAGATAATGGGGTGGTCCACACCCACTGTCCGAAAGGGTCTGTCCCTGGAGGGCCCGTGGGGAGACTGGTGGTGATGAGCTTGGGAAGACAAGACAGCTGCTCCTGGAGGGTGTGGGGGGGTCTGCAAGGCTCACTGTGCCCCGGGGGTGTCTGTCACACCAGCCTGTGCCCTAGCTGGGCATTGTTATCCCCCTTCTTCGCATGACAAGCGTGAGGGAGAGAGACTTTCCTGGCAGATGACACACAGAGTAATTGAAGAAGCACAGGTTCTAAGCCAGGTGCATCTTGCTCCAAAGGGCCTGCTCTTAACCCCTCAGCCTCATCGTCCCTCCTGGAGCGGGCACAGTTATGGGACTGTGCATAGCATATCCACTTCCTTCAAGGGAGCCTACACACTGTCCAGCAGGGGGCGCCTCAGGGGCCGCTGGACACTGAAGTGTCCACGCCAGAGCTAGCAGGCAGGTTAGCCAGCCGCATAGCTTAATGGCCCGTGACACTGGCTCAGGAGAGAAAGGCCTGCCTGTCCCCTTCCTAATTAATCAATATGTACTGAGCACCCACTACCTGGCAGGCAGGGATAAGACGGACAAGGACTCTGCCCTCCTGGAGTACACAGTCGGGATGGAGACACTCCACACAAGCCGTTAAATGAATGGAAAAGAAAATTACTAACCTGGTATAGCGCTTACTATCCACGACAGGCACTGTCCTGAGAGCTTTTTGCACATTAATGCACCACAGCCTTACGAAGTGGGAGCTGTTATTGCTTCCAGTTCTGACAGGTGAGAAAACGGAAGCACACAGCTAATAAGCGGAACTGGAGTTCTGTTCAGCCACGTAGGCCCTTGGCCTCCACAGTATAGGAGACAAAGTGGGGAGTGAGGGTGGGGGTGCTCTTTGGTCAAGGGGATCAGGGAGGGCCTCTCTGAGGAAGGGACGTTTGGATGGTGAGGAGAAACCTGCAGAGAACTGAGCGGAGAGCATTGCAGGAGCGGCGAGTGCAGAGGCCCTGAGCAGGGAATGGACTTGTTTACAGACCAGAAAAGGCAGCTGCTGTGGCTGGAGCTCAGTGAGCAATGGGGGAATGGTTTGACACGAGGTTGGACGTGTTGGCGGACAATGCGGAGAGTTTCCTGAGCACCTACTGTGTGCTCTGACAGACGGTGTGAACACTAAAGGAGGCAAATACGATACTAGCGTCCTCTAAGGAAAAGCCTGCCTTTGTCTGACAAGAAGGAGCTGAGACAGGGAGTCAGAGACCAGCAGGTAACAGTCTGCCGTAGTCGATGAAACCACATTTCCCAAGAGTGGCAGGATGAATGATGATGAAGACGATGATGATGGTGGTGACAATGACAGGCCCTTGCTGAGGCCCTACGGGTGCCAGTTCCTGTGCTAAGCTCATCTAACCTTCTCCCCAGCCCTCTCTGACAGACACAGATATTCCTATTTTCAGAGAGGGCCTCCCTGAGGCCCCTGACCTCACCCATCTCCATCCCAGGCCACCCAGCGCCCTCCCCTGCGTGCCTCCCCTCAGGGGACGTCCCTGTGGCCTGTCTCAGCCTCACTGGCTCCATTCCAGAGAGCTGGGGTAGATCAGCCAGGGTCATCCAATGAGTAAGCAGCTGAGGCTGGGTTTCCAGCTCCCGTCCTAGTCACGTCACCACGGCACATGATCAAAGACGGGCACGTGCCCGGGCACGGAGCAGGGCAGCAGTTTGGGGATCCAAGAGGAGGAGGAGGAGTGAGAGCTGGAGGCGGCGAGGACTGTGGGCTTTAGGGCTTCTGTACATCCTTGGCCCAGGAGGAGGGGAAGGAGCCAGGTGTTCCCGGGCCACCTTGCTTACGGGATCAGGGCCTGAGATGAATTTCCTTTTAGATTTTCAGTTGAAAAAGTCCCCTGTCAGTCCAGGCTGTGCAGCTCCGTTGGTTAGAGCGACGTCCCGATACACCGAGATTTTGGGTTCGATCCAGGTCAGGGCACATACAAGCATTAAAGGATGCAGAAATACGTGAAACCGCAAGTCAATATTTCTCTCTCCCTCCCTCTAGCTCTTAAAAAATCAATAAAAAAGAGAGAAAAGTCCTCTTTCCTCGTCCTGCTTCATTTACTGTGTAAATCTGGATTTTTGTGTGTATGGTGCCTTTCGTTGTGGGCCCTAGGAGGAGGGAAGGAAGAACTAGTTCCCCTAAGCACCACCAGGTGGCAGCATCGTCAAGGCAGTGTGCAGAGTGGGTTGGTTCACCCAGTTCTTCCCAGAGAAGGGGGCCGCCGAAGGCTGCATTTGAACCCAATGCCTGGTTTCTTTCCATCGCTTGAGGCTAAGTCTGGGTCAAAAGAGCTTGGCCCCTTTCCCTGCTCTGGGGCTCCGGGAACATTGAGGAGGCTGGGTCCGTTGAGGTCTAAGTCCTATCAGACTAGGAAGGGTGGGTGGTCTCCAGGGATCTAACCCTGGGTGGGTCTGGGTCCTGAAGTCCCCCAGCCTGTCCCGCTGAGGCAAAGCCCCAGGCCTGCAGTGCACACAGGCCACCCAGGCAGATCCTATCCTGGTCTCCTGGTGAGTAATGACTTTGCTATTTTTTACCCCATAAATTAGACCTACTCTTTGTGTTGACTCTGCTGAACGGGAATAATGAGGAAGATTAAGATGAGACGGTATTCATTCTCTTCCAACAAAAGCCAATTACTTGTTAGCAGGATGAGTGCCCGGAGCCAGGCGCTCTGCAGAGTGGGCAGGCGGGGCTGGGGTCTGCAGGGGATGCAGCGGGAAGGATCCCAGTTAGATGTGAGGAAGAACAGCCGGGAGAGGGAGGGGGCTGGAGTCAAGGGGAGGGGGGATGTGAAGGTCATGGAACTGCCCACCCAGGTGATGTTTGTGAGACACGGAGGGGGGCGCCAGGGGAATTCCCGAACCCCTGCACGCCTGGGCTTTTGCTCCCCAAGGCCCATGACCTCACTTATCTCCACTCAGGCCACCTGGCACCCTCCCCTGCACTCCTCCCCTCAGGGGATGTCCCCGGGGCCTGTCTCAGCCTCACTGGCTCCGTTCCAGGGTCACCTTTGATAAAGGAACCTGCTCCTCCTAGGAACCAGGGGAGCCGCAGGTCCGGGGTGAAGAGCGTGGGTCTGGAGACAGAAACACTTGGGTTTCGCCTGGTTTTGTCCCTT